AAGTAATCGAAAATGTTCACAAAGAACAAAAGAGAATCACTCTCAAAAGATTTCAATAAAAAGATGGATGATTTTATTTCTGATCTTACATAAGTTTATATAGAAGAGGAATGAGTAGACAAAGAGTCATACTCGGAATTCAAAGACATTAACTTCATAGATTAAAAGCAAGGAGCAAAAATGCTGAATAACTCTTGAGCTTCTATGAACAACCCTTGATCTCCTTGTCTCTTTGACTCCTTGGACGAATTTGATGATAGGCTAAGTCTTTCCTCCTCATTTTGGGCTGTGGAATTGTCTTCTGGATGCCAAACGTAATCCTAAAGGCTTCCAAATGAATCAGGCCTGGAAAATGAAGAGTATATTTATGATCTGATGGCCATTTCGTCTGTTCTTGAGCCTTTTCGAACCATAAGAGATCCATTAAAATTCTCAAAGTGGTCTCTTGTCAAAATCGTGTCTGAATTGGGCTCTGGAGTTCGATCTTCATCTCGGACGCGTAACTGATTCTGGAACAGATCCATTGACTTCTAAAATTCATATCTTCCAATATCCGAACTCTTTTTGAATTGATTACAATTCTCCATGCTTCTGTGATGAATAAAGGTTCCAGGAAAATTTGTTTCATAACTTGATTCCTTCTGGCTTAGTCGGAATCCTCCATTGAACGCGTGCAGGTCCAAATCGAGTAAGCTTGACTTCGTCTAGTTTGAAAACTAAATAACTCTTTCATCAAAACTCTGATTGAACCGATTCCACTTCGTGGAGTGCTCTAGATTAGGTGAGAACATATTCCAAGTGGTCTTTGGTCTGTACCAGTTTAGATCGGACCCCATTTGTGTTGAACAAGGCAGATATGTATTCTTGGCCGTCCTCAATATCATATCATCCCTTCCCTCTTGAAAAAGTTTCGTCCTCGAAACTGTACAACCTTGGACTGGAAAATGTTGAAGTGAGTTTGGTGGACTCTCCTTGATTAGCATGTAATATATGTCTCCTTTTGGTTGGCTTTTATCTTAATGTGACATCTTGTATAAGATAGCCTTTCTTTACTTGGTTTTGTAACTTCAGCCAACAAACGCTTGACCTTGTTTTCTGGTTTTGAAAATGCTGAATCTCCAAAAACAAAATCCACTTTTTCCACAACTTTAAAATCCTGAGTGTATGAGTCAGGTATAGATAATAAGGAATACCTCGTTGTGAGTGCATCAGCTGATTCACCTTTGTTTCCAAGTTTTCTTAGCATCAAGCTCTTCTTCTTGGCATCTTCATCCTTTGTCTTAAGTAACAACTGATCCTGATAGATTTCCTGTGATGTCATTGGAACTAGAGTGACTTTTCGGCTTTGGAACTCAAAAGAATACCAATTGGTATAGCCATTGTGAGACACTCTCCGGTCATATTGCCATGGTCGCTCAAGTATAATATGACTTGTATTCATGGGTAGCACATCACAAAGGATTATGTGAACCATCACTTGGCTGCTTACTTTCAACTCGCCCCTATCATTGAGCCACTGAAGCTTGTAAGGCTTTGGATTCTTCTTCACCTCTAATCCAAGTTTTTTTACCATGGTTACACTTGCCACAGTTGCACAACTTCCCCCATCAATAATGACGCTGCAAACATTTTCCTTGACATTGCATCTAGTGTGAAACAGATTTATTCTCTGCTCTTGCTCCTCAGATTTGGGTTGTACACTTAGTGATTTCCTTGATACCAACATCTTTCCTTGAACTGGCATCTCCAAACGTTCTTCTAAAGGTGACTCTGAGTCAGGAACTTCTTCAACTTCTGATTCAATATCCCCATTGTCCAAGAGAATCATGATCTTCAGGTTTGGGCATTCATTAGCATAATTTCCCTTCCCTTGACACTTGAAACACCTTACATTTTGAGTCTTTGAAGAAGAAGCCACGCCCTTGCCCTTTTGCATCTTGACTCGCAGTGTACTGATTTGGCTCTATTTTTGGCTTAACAACTTGTTTCTCTTCTGCTTGGTGGCTCGACTTGGTGTTAGAAACTCCAACTCCATAAGTTGGCTTAGTGGAACCTTTCCTCTTGAGTTGCTGCTCTACAAGGATCGCCTTGTGGTGCATCTCTTCTAGATCCACATAATGTTACATCTCAAGCCTGTCTTGAACATCTGACTTTGGCAAGCAGGAGCTGGAGTATTTGGATCATATTATTTCTAATGCTGGCATCAGAGCAGATCGGATTGGATTGGCCTGTTGGATTGGCCTGTTCCCAATACTAGTACTGAACTTCGAGGATTTCTTGGGTTGACAGGGTACTATAAAAAATTTGTGCGTGATTACAGTCTTATTGCACGGCCACTCACAAATCTGTGATAGAAAAAAAATTTGCGTGGAGTGAGGAAGCCGAGCAAGCTTTCGAGAAGCTCAAGGTGGCAATGACTTCTATACAAACTTTGGCTCTACCAGATTTTTCTAAGCCATTTGTTATTCAAACTGATGCATCCGGAGAAGGTATCGGTGCTGTTTTATCTCAAAATGATCAACCTGTGGCATTTATGAGCAGATCCTTGGGTATAACAAAGAAAACATGGTCAACATATGCTCGTGAGATGTTGGCTATCATTGTTGCTATTCACACATGGCATCCGTATCTGCTTGGTCGACGTTTCACTATCCAAACGGATCAACGCAGCTTATGATATTTGCTTAAAAAACACATTCTAACTTCCGAGCAACAGAAGTTGGTCGGGTACGATTACGAGATCATTTACAAACTGGGAAAAGCAAACTCCGCCGCCGATGCTCTTTCTCGTGTCCCTGACAGTCCGGTGTTGAACACGATCTCAGTCTCACAAGTTTCTTTCTGGGAAGATCTTTGATCATTGACAAAGACTGATCCATATCTGTTACTCATTAGCAAGGCCGCCGCTGAGAAACCAGGGCAACCTTATGCCTGGAAAGATGACTTCTGTGCTATAACAACTGTGTGGTGATTCCTCCGAACTCAACACTGTTCCGTCAGCTACTTCATGAGCACCACGCCACTCCTATGGGAGGTCAGTCCGGTGTACTCCATACCTATAAATGGTTGTCTCGACAGTTTTACTGGCCCTCAATGCACAAGGTGGTGGCAGCATATGTTTTTGAATGTGATACATGTCAGAGAGCAAAGTCTCAAACTTTGTCTCCTGCAGGTCTTCTTCAGCCGTTGCCAGTACCATGTCAGCTTTGGGAAGATGTATCCATGGATTTTGTGGATGAGCTACCAAGATCTCACGGTCGCACTTCTATCATGGTTGTTGTTGATCGCCTAATCAAATATGCTCATCTCGTTGCTTGACTAATCCATACACAGCTTCGGTGGTAGCTTCAAAGTTCATCAACCCCGTCTTTAAACTCCACGGTATGCCTAAATCTATTCTCAGCGACCGAGATCCTCTTTTTCTCAGTAAATTTTGGAGAGAATTTTGGAAATTCTTGGGTACGACGCTACGTATGTCAACGGCTTATCATCCGCAAACGAACGGGCAAACAGAAATCGTTAACCAGTGTATCGAGCAGTACCTTTGATGTTTTGTCCAAAATAGGCTGAAAGAATGGAGTATATTCTTGTCGTGGGCTAAGTATTGGTACAGCACCACATTTCATTCGACGACGGGCACAACACCGTTTGAAGCTTTATACGGCAGACCGCCACCATTGATGCCTAGGTAAGAAATTGGGTCTTCGTTGGTTGATGAAATTGATGCACAGCTGCAGGAAAGAGATGAGTTTTTGGGAGAATTAAAACAACATCTTCAGGCAGCCAACAACAGAATGAAGCAGAGAGGAGACTTGAAGCTTCGCGAGATGGAATTTGCTGTTGGTGACTGGGTTTTTCTGCGACTCCAGCATTATCGCCAGAAATCTATCTTTCGGCGTTCATCCCAAAAACTAGCAAACCAGTTTTATGGGCCATTTCAAGTTGAACGACGTATCAGTCAAGTTGCATATCGTCTCAAATTACCCGAAGGTTCGCGTATCCATCCAGTGTTCTATGTCTCCTTACTTAAGAAACGTGTTGGTGATGATGAACCTCTTTCCATGAAACTACCACCGTTTCGTGAGAATGGGTTATTGCAATTGTCTCCGGATGAGCTTTTGTCAAAGAGGCAGGTACAGAGAGGGAACAAGTGGTTCACGGAGGTGTTGATAAAACGGACCAAGTTACCAATAGACGAAGCTACTTGGGAGGATCACGAGCAGATTCAGGGAAGTTTTCCTCAATTTCAAATGAACCTTGAGAACAACGTTCCTTTGGAGGGCGGGAGTATTAATAGGATACCAACAGAGGAACATGAGGACGACGTAGCTGGTCAAGATGCTGAGGTGGAAATAAAGAGGTCAAATCGGCAGAGAAAATCAAAAAAGAAGTATTCAGATTGACTAAGTCTTTTGTTTTACTTGTCTTACTTGTTCAAATAACGTGGACTACTCTTCCTCCTTATTTGTGGGAAGCAGTTCTCCATTTTTTATCGTTACCGTATTGTAAGGAGTCCATGACTCCATCTTTCTCTATTTAAATCTATGAAAAACCAAAAAAAAAAGGTAGATTATCTACCCAAAGAAAACCCTTGTGTTCTAGTTCTCAGCTTAACCAAGTTTAGAACTCTTGTTATCTATTGGTCTTGGCTTTGAGGGATTCAGAGTTCGGGACCTATCAGAACACTTCACGAAAGTTATTTTTTTCTTTTTTTGACTATGTTAGCTTATAGGAAGAACTCATATAATTAAACTAACTGGCAGATGAAAGATAACTATTCGAGTTATCGCATCTGTAAATACATTGTTTTGTTTTGGATTCTAAATATCTCTTCAATAAATTACGTTTGCGTCTTGATTTTTTTTTTTTTTTTTGCACTTGTTTATAGTCTCATTTCGCACTAGGGATGCTTAATCCCGATAAACCGATCCTGGAATAATTAATCCTAAATCTTCACTGTATCTTCATTGTTTCTATCTTCTGTTTGCAGGAGTTTCAAGTAATTTTAACTCAACGTACGAATGCTTCTGGCATGTTAGGAAGTAGTAACACTTTTGTAAGGTACGTGAATAGCTATTACAGTTACATTTAAAAAAGAGTGATTCCTGATCAGCTCTTTCTCGTCCATCTAGACGCCACCTGGAAATGAAAAAGAGGAAAATATGTCAATCCGAAAGTTCGAATTACAAAGAATTACATTCTCAAAGAAAAAAGTATATATATATATAGTATCAAAGAATAAAAAGATATATATATATATATATATATCTTTTGGGTTCTTGCAGATACATTTATTTTTGTGTTAAAAGTGATAAATAAGTGTTGTTTCATCGAGATTTTTGTTCGGGCTTTTCGGTTAAAATAATAACCTAATTAATTTAAATTTTTATTCGTGCTTTGGGGAGAAAAGATATATGCGGAATGCCTCATGTGATAGTTCGCCACGAAAATAGATTGAGTAGGAAAGTTATGATTTTCAGTTTTCAAACATTATAGAAAAAGATGCACTTGTGTCAACAAAAAAAAGAAAATTTGGTTGAATAAGTTTTACATTCATCCAGAAAAAAAAAAACATACACTAATTTCTTGGGTTAAAAATGACAAACATGGGTGTTTATTGTACGATTTAAGTTAAGTTTTTGAATTCACACCAAATAAAAAAAAGTTGAGTTTTTGAATTTTTTTTCAGTTTGGTTCAGATCGGATAGGTCTATCCGGATTATGCATCCCTAGAGAAAATTATAAAATTGACGTACCGTAATCTCTTGCTGTCTTACATTTGAAGCATTCGGCCCTGCTTGCGTAGTTATGAACTCCGCAACCGACCCTTGCACAAACCCAATCGCCAGATTTCCAGCCGGGAGGACAAGCTCCCGCATCATTCTCGTAAGCAACCATTTGAGCTCCATAGTACTGATCTGTATACTCGACTTTAATCATTCCACATCGATAGCAACTTGTGCGGCTGGCGTAATTGTGGCTCCTACAGTTCAATGCACCACAATACCAATCACCAGCCAAAACCTCAGTCCTGTTGTATAAGTACGTTGACACATCCACCCCTCCAAATTTGGGGTATCCACATTTCTGGCATGCCTCTCGTTTTTTGAAGTTTGCATGTTGGCACGCCCCACATAGCCAGTCTCCTCCAGTCCAGCTCATCTTTATTGATATATATCTAACCACCTGAAACGTATACTAGTAGTATTTAGCCAACATATCCAAAAGTAAAAATTGAAGTATGCAAAAAATCTTATCAGAGGAGGAGCTTTGATTTAAGAAGAAGGCCGAACCTGAGAAGACAAGAGACTGGTAAGCCAAATGAAGAGGTGAAATTGGTAGTTTGAGGAACATGGCTTTATATAAGCATTATAATGAGAATGTATATTTAGGTAGATGCTGATTCCATCAACTTTCTCTGCATTATGAGGATATAATAAGATATAAGACTATAAAAATTAATTCGGATGAATAAGCCTTATGGTGTCATGTAGTACTCAACCATTTCACGGTGGTTAAAAGACTCATTTTGGAGTTGTGGATAGGATTCGAGTAATCCTGTTGTGATTTCAATAACGGTTTTGTCAAACGATGAGGACGATTAGTTTGGATTCGGACTACTATTCGCGATTTTTTTTTTCTCTAAGAAGAATCTTGCGGTGGGAAGATTTTTTGAGAAATTATCATTAATATTGCCATGGTGTGTAATCTAATTTTCATAGGTTGCAATCTTTATGGATCATCTATTCATATAGGTTTGATTTCGTTTTATCATGTCATGGTTTTACGAAATATCTTTAGATGGACGTGTAAACATTAAACTTCAAAGGTTCAAAAACCAAAAAGAAACTTCAAAATTCAAACATTACGGTGAAGTAGACATATCGATACCCGTGAAGTAAACATTACGGTAAAATGTTAAAACTGTGTTTATGTGAAAGAGAAAAAGTCGTGAATAGGTTCAAAAAAAGTAAAAGTCGTGAATGATAATTAAGAGGGAAATCACAAGACCGACTGTTGATATGTGAATATCGATAAGGGGCAAAACAGTATTTTAGATCGGTAAACTCGGTTTTTATTAGATTGAATTGAGAGAATACAATTGAGTTCGGTTATTGAGTAAAGAATAACAAACTAAAACTTTATGAAACTAAGAATCTAAAGTGATGAGTTCTCAGTCTCTAAGTCTTCTTTGGAATATCTTGTGTTCTCTGGTATCGATTCATCTTCCTTTATATATATCCTCTGAGTCGGCCATCGAGTGCGTCTTCAGCGATATGAGACCGAGAGGACTTTCCTTTTCTCTCGGTCCTTTTCCTTTTCTCGCAGCAGTTTCTTTTTTCCATTGGGAAACTTTCGATTCTTGACCGAACTCGGGGAACTTCTCGGTTCCTTCGAGAAGCTTCTCGCCGACCTCGGCTTAATGGGCTGCGTTCGACCCAATACTTTACTCGGCCCAATCTTCCCGGTACATTCCTTCGTGAACCGGGCTTATGTTACGCCGATCTCGGTTTGTACTGGAGAAAACCGGGGTGCGGTTTTTACCTCCAACAGTTAGCCCCCCCTCAGTTCGATGAAAGGGAATGACTTTTAGTCAAACTTATTTGATTCAAAGTAAGTCACAAACCGAGCTCGGTAACCGCAATCGATTCGCATTCCCGGACGTTTCGCACCCTGTCTTCAATGAGGCGCGTGAATTCTGGGATTTTGCGAAAATCGAGGAACCACGATTCCCACTGTTTATAAGGGAAAAACTTCTTCTTGCATTCATTATTCTCGTTCAAGCATATATAAGGTACGCTGCTCTCCCTTCTCTCTAGATTTTGTTTCTCTCTCTAGTTTTCATTTGTAGTTCTCTCTCGTTTCTCCATCTCTCGCCGCCGCGATTTCTTGATTTTTCCGATCTATCTTCAAGTTTCCCGTTCGATCTTCAAATTCTCCGATCAATCTTCAATCTTTTCTGGTTAATCTTCAAACTGTTCTTCATTCTTCTCAGATCTCCTTTCCAATCTACTTTTCCGAACCCAAAATGTCTTCCAGCTCTTCAATCAATTCCTCTTCTAACCAAATCTTGCCGGAAGACCGTCGCGAGTCTTCTGAACCGAGCTCTTCTTCCTCGAACGCTCATTCCATGAACTCCTCCAACAAGGAAAGTAATCCTCCGTAGTTGGTTCGTAAAAACTCCAGATCGGCCGGTGCGAGCAGTAGCCGTTCTCGACCGCGAGTCGAAGCGACCGAACAACTGGCGACAGAGACTCGCGAAACGGAAGCTCGGATTGGGCCGACAAGAGGTCGAAGAGCCTGAAGAAGATAATCAGGAGGAGAACGCCACCGAGGCGGAAGTTGCCGAGGATAACCTTGAAGCAAGTGATCCACTCTTCGCCACCACTTCCAAAGCGAAAAGTCGTTCGTCCTCACAACGTGCCATCTTCTTCTCTTTCCACGAATGCCGTTCAAGCCATTCTTGAGGAGAACGGGCTTTCGGACAAGGTCATTTTTATAATACCGGAAGCTGAAGATCGGCCATGGGACGTACCTGAAGGCTTCCTCTGCATTTACGTGACGTACTTCACGCAGTGCAGACTCTCCCTTCCAATTCCCTCTCGTCTACTCGGGTACTGCAATCGGCGGGGCGTAGCTCTCACGCAAGTGATGCCTGCGTCGATAACGAACTATGTTGGTTTTGTTACTCTATGTGACGAGCTCGGCGAGGTTCCAACTAGTCGGCTCTTCGAAGACCTCTTCTCGGTTAACATCCACAAATCTAAGGAGTGGTTCTTTGCAGCGAACGCCAAGCCGAGAAAGAACCTCGTTACTGGGGTCAAACCCAGTAAATACAACAACTGGGAGTCTCAGTACTTTTACCTCGAGATGAACGATCTCTCCGTCAGCAACTCTGATATCCCAACTCAATCGGAGTGGAAGATTCCGATCGGTAGATTTAGATGATCTTATACTTAGTCGATTTTTGATTTCGTATCTTTTTAACTCTTTACGTTTCATTTTTGCAGGTCGTCATCTCCCGAGCATTATTCTCAACTCTGGACTCACTTCCGAATTTGAAACAGCCTTTAGTGAAGCCGGCAAACGTCGTTGGCCCGAAGTGTGGGAGGAGATTCTTCAGCGTCGAGCTAAGAAAGCAGGTTCGACTATCGAGTTCATTTTTGTTTTCCTATTTTGAGTTTCTTCCGAACTCTGCCTTATGCGTTTTACAGCTCCTGTTAAGGAACCGAAGCCGCTGAAGCCAAAGACTCGAGCTAAAAAACCTCGAGCTGCTCCAAGACGCAAAGCACCAAAACCGCAGGCTAAACGACCTCGAACTGCCAGGATGCTTTCGCTGGACGAGATCCCAACTCTGTTGGACGAAGAGGAGCCGAACGTCGCTGATCCGACCCCTGTCCCTGCTACCGAAGGGACCAATGAGCAACCGAAAGAGCTGCCGCCTGCTGCGAACTCGCCTGACCAAGCTGGTCAGAAGAAACTGAAGAAGAAGAAGTCCTCGAAGAAAACTAAGAGGATTGAAGACTCTTCTCGGGCGCAGGATGCACCCGCTGAGCTCAACCCACCGACGGCTATGGCGTCGGACCTCGCTCTTTCTCAGGATCGAGCTGAGGCTTCTCATTCTCGGAAGAGACAGGCTGAGGACCATACCGAAGACTCTCCAGGGCCAGAGCCGGCTAAGAGGGCTAAGACTGTTTTGATTATGATGAGGAGACTCCTTTTGAGGAGAACATCGATGCTTGCGCCGAACTCTATCACAAAATCTCTTCTCAGGTCCCGAGTCTGCCGGCAGTTCCCGAGCTCCGCTTCCCCAATATGTACAAAGGGATCGCACGTACAACTGTTGTGGTAACTTCCTGATTCCACTTCCTCATTTTATTATTTTCTTAAGTATGAGCTCTAACTCGTGTTTTATTTCGTGCAGCTCGCCAGTCAGACCAACAACTTGGTCGCGGCGTATGAAGTCGGGCTGTACGATGAACAGGTTAGGGTTGCCGAGCTACAGGAGAGGGTCTCCAAGGCGGAAGAACGTCTCGCCACCGAGCTCCAGATCAACGACTCTCTCCATACGGCTGTTGAATTGCTGAAGCAGGAGAGCTCAGAGCTAAAAGCGGTAAGAACCGAGCTGACCGAGGCTCAGACCTTGCTTTCTCGGGAATTCGAGAAGGACAAGGAACGGCTGCAAGGCGCCGAGCAAGGAGCGTTCATGCGACGGCCTGCGAACACTTGGAGAAGTTTATCTGCAGTTTGGATGACGTGGATCGAGCTCGTAAGCCTTACTTGGTGGTTAATCAGCTCACTGGAGTCCTCGGCTTTATCAAGCAACTCAAGAAGAAAGGCTTGTACGAGGTCCCGTGGTAGCTGGCATCGAGGCAAAGCATGCCAAGGCGTTTGAAGACTTTCGTTCAGTCGATGCTTGCGTTCTTACTGAAGAGGATAAGCGGATGTCCTGATCACGAATGCGAATTTGGATCGAATGAGGACATGCTGAACGCCGATCAAGCTGCAACCTCAAAGACCGCTTAGTCTTTTTCTGTTTCTTCTCTTTCTCGAACTCACTTGCCCTTTCATGGGTTACTTTATATGTAATATTTTATTTCCGAACCCTCGGTGGGTTCTTGAACTTATTCGCCTCTCGGAAGGCTTTTAATTATATGCTCGCTTGCTTTATTATTTTTTTTTATCTTAATGACTTAAAAAAAATCTTTCAAGTAGTAGATCGGTATTTAATTCGATTTTAAATTTATTCATTTGGTTTAGCGAATTGCGATAACACCTAAGTAGTAGATCGGAAACTAGTAGATGATGTTTGAACATAATTTCATCTTTTGATAGCAAATTGCGATAATTCGGCTTACGTTTTGCGAGTGTTGAGAACTCGGCTTACGGTGCGAATCTGAGGAGTTCGGCTTATTGTGCGAGCATTTGAGCTCGGCCTGGGGAACCCAAGTGAATCGTGTCATACTGGAAGAGTGAATTAATTTGAACTCTTGTAAGCGCACAAAACGAGTTCAAAGTTTTTCTAAGTCGAACCTAAGTATGCGAGATGTGCTCGGCTTATTGTTCTTGGTGACTTAGAAATTTAACTGCAGTACTGGCCCCGGCTTTTGATATGTGGTTTTACCACGGCACCATGTGGGTGCTTGCGAGACGGATCTCGGCTTTTAAAGTTTGCATTCATGTGGAATGCTATCGAACAACTGGCCAGGAAGTCGATGTAAGAACAAGGAGTTCGGTATTTTCCGAACTGGAACTTAGACGTTTTTTGACTTAATAAAACTTTATTGATGTTATAGCTGGACTCGATAACGAGCTGCCTACGTACCCTTTAAAGGGATCAAGCCATTCGTTGTTCTAAGTACAAAAGTGTTTTTTGCTCCGACTAAGTAGTTCGGAGGCTTTTTTTTTTTTTTATCGAAGCTCGTAACGAACTAGTAGTAGTATCGTTTGAGATGCATTGTGTTCCAGGATCGCGGGATCGGAGTTCCGTCTAACTTCATCAGTTGATAAACGCCGGGTTTAACAACCTTCATCACTTGGTATGGGCCTTCCCAGTTCGCGCCGAGTTTTCCTGCGTTCTTTTCTTCTTTGTTTTGATAGACCTTGCGAAGTACGAGATCGCCATCTTCAAAGTGACGGCCTTTGACCTTCTTGCTATAGTAATGAGCTTCCAGTTGTTGGTAGTTTTGTATCCGGAGTAACGCTCGTTCGCGATGTTTTTCGACTAAGTCGATTGTGTCGAGCATCATGTCGTTATTCGCGTCGGGTTGCTGGGTGAGCATGGTTCGGCGAATACTTGGGACGTTGAGTTCGGCTGGACACATAGCTTCTGTACCATATGCAAGGAAGAATGGTGATTGACCGGTCGAACGTCGTGGTGTAGTTCGGTGAGACCACAAGACACCATCGAGTTCGTCCGCCCAAGTTCCCTTAGCGGTATCGAGTCGCTTCTTCAGACCATCGATAATGGTTTTGTTCGTGGCTTCGGCTTGCCCGTTTCCTTGTGGGTATCGCGGGGTAGAGAAACTTAGTCTGATTTTTTACTTGGCGCAAAAATCTGTGAAAATTATCGAAGTGAACTGGGTGCCGTTGTCCGTAACGATCTCGTACGGGACTCCGTGTTGGCAGATGATAAATTTCCAGACGAACTTCTTGACATCGATTCCATGAATCTCGGGGTATGCCTCGGCTTCGACCCATTTGGTGAAGTAGTCCGTGACGACCAGAACGTATTGCTTCTGAGTCGTAGATCGGCGAAAAGGACCGATGATGTCCATTGCCCAGCGCATGAAAGGATATGGTGCGGTCGAGGTCATCAAGAGCTTGGTAGGAAGGTTGATCATCAGGCCATGACGTTGGCACTTCTCGTAGCGTGCTGTATACTTTTCGCAGTCAGAAAGCATAGTAGGCCAATAATAGCCAGCTTTTTTGATCTTGAATGCCAAAGACCGAGCTCCAGAGTGATTTCCTCCTTCTCCTTCATGAACTTTCTGCATTACTTCCATGATGTCGTTGCCGTGAACACAAGTAAAGAGTACACCGGACGCATCCCATCTGAGGAGAGTGCCCTTAATGACCACGTACCGAGCTGCACGCGCCTTGAGGCGCTGAGCTGCCCATTTATCTGCGGGGACCGTTCCATCTCCAATGTAGCCCACAATTTCTAAGGTCCAATCTTCAGGCTCATCTTCACCTTCGGCTTCGATATCGATTGGAACGTGTTGACCTTCGGACTCGTCTTCGAGATCGGATTCGTTATCAGGTTGTTCGTCCATCTTGGTGTTGAGATCGGTGACGACCTCTCTGGGTTTTGTTTTCAGGGTTAGGGGTGGAGCGAGATTGGGTTGGGCTTCGTAATCACGGCGTCTTGTAATGATGTTGCAGTTCGGACCAGGCTCAATACTTGGTCGTTCGATTGCTGCGATTGGGATAGTTCGCCGAAGATCAGGATCGGAATTAGTCGCGAGAGCGGCTAAGGCGTCGGCGGTTGCGTTCTCATCACGAGGTATCTTTGTAAGCTCGAATGTTGAGAACTCCGAAGCAACATCCTTAAGGACTTTGAGGTATGCGTCCATGCGATCGTTCTTGGCCTCGTATTCGCCGTGAAATTGGTTAGCCACACGCTGAGAGTCGCAGTAGGCGTGTATGTGTTCGGCACCGATACTTTTAGCAAGTCGTAGCCCAGCAATCAATGCTTCGTATTTGGCTTCGTTGTTGGACGCCGGGAAGCCAAGGCGGAATGATTGTTCGATAACCTCTCCTTCGGGGGATTTGAAACGAATCCCGACGCCGGATCCTTTATGGGATGAGGAGCCATCGGCGTGGAGAATCCAAGGTTGTACGACAGGATTAACTTCGACGAGCTCAGGTGGGAGCTCGACCAAGAAATCCGCCAGGACTTGAGACTTTGTTTCAGTTCTTCCTCGGTATTCAATGTCATACTCGCTAAGTTCAATGGCCCACTTGGCGAGTCTTCCGGATTGACTTGGGCTATGGAGGAAAGTGCGGAGAGGGTAGTCAGTTAGGACTACGATCGAGTGAGATTGGAAATACGAGCGTAACTTCCTCGCAGAAATAACCACGGCAAAGGCGAATTTCTCCAAGGTCGGGTAGCGATACTCTGACCCATCAAGGGATTTGCTTGTGTAGAAAATTGGCTTCTGCTCGCCACGATCTTCTCAAACAAGAACACTGCTGACCACGTACTACAAAATTGCGATGTAGAGGTAAAGTGTCTCGCCGGTTTCTGGTTTGGATAAGACTGGTGGCGTAAACAATTATTTCTTTAGCTCGGCAAAAGCTTCTTCGCACTTCTGATTCCATTCGAGATGTTTGTTACCGCGGAGCAGTTGGTAGAAAGGCAAGCACTTGTCTGTCGATCTGGATATAAACCGATTAAGTGCTGCAATGCGTCCAGTGAGTCGTTGAACTTCGCGTTTGGTTGTCGGAGATGGGAGCTCGAGTATAGCTGCAATCTGTTTCGGATTAGCTTCAATGCCTTGCAGTGTGACTATGTATACGAGGAACTCTCCAGACGTTACACCGAACGTGCACTTAGTGGGATTAAGCTTCATGCCATACTGGTCTAAAATATCAAAGCAGGTGCGAAGATAACCGACGTGATCGGAAGCGACGAGTGATTTCACGAGCATATCGTCAATGTAAACTTCCATAGTTCGCCCGAGCTGGCTTGCGAACATCCGGTTCACCAGTCGTTGGTACGTTGCTCCAGTATTCTTCAGACCAAAGGGCATGACCTTATAGCAGTATATGCCGCGGTCTGTGATGAACGATGTCTTTTCCCGATCTTGCAGATGCATAAGAATCTGATTATATCCGGAGAATACGTCCATAAACGAGAGTAGTTCGTTTCCGGCAGTCGCTTCCACAAAGTGGTCGATATGAGGCAAAGGAAAACTATCTTTCAGACATGCCTTATTGAGATCGGTAAAGTCGACGCAGATCCTCCATTTACCATTCTTCTTCCTGACGACTACGGGGTTTGCTAGCCAATCAGGATATTTGACTTCGGTTATGGATCCTGCTTTGAGCAACCACTAGACCTCATCGTTGACGGCCTGTGCCTTCTCTGGTCCGAACTTTCGGCGTTTCTGCTTGATTGGCTTATACGTCGGATCGATGTTGAGCTCATGACACGCGATCTGTCGATCGATCCCGGGCATATCTTCGACCGACCAAGCAAAGGTTGACGAATGCTGTTTCAGAAAGTTAATGAGTGGATCACGGATGCTTGAGTCGAGTTCAGCACCGATTCCGACTTGACGTTCTGGCCTTAATTTGTCGATGCAAACTTGAACGATCGACTCCTGCTTAGGCTTTGTCTGCTGGACGACGAGCTCGTTCGTCGGTCCTAACGAACTGATGACACAAGCTTGGTTGGCCGAACAAAGTTTGCACTCGTTTATGTAACATGATCGAGCGACGGCTTGGTTTCCTCGGAGAGTGTAGACACCGTCGGGAGTTGGGAACTTCAAGCATTGATGATACATTGAGGCAACCGCCTTCATTGCGTGTAACCAAGGCGTACCGAAAATGGCGTTGTAGATTGCCGGTTTGTCGAGGATGAGGAACTGAATAATCTTTGCGACTCCACCGAGGTAGATCGGGATGTTGACCATGCCCACCGTCTTGCAACGTTCTCCGTCGAAACCTGTAAGTGGCTCGATAAAAGGCTCAATCTCATCTGACGGTAAATCGAGCTGGTCAAGTGCTTCCTTGAAAATAATATTGACCGAACTGCCGGTATCGACCTGAATGCGACTAACTTCGACGTAGTCGAGAAGTAGTTCGACAACGAGTGCGTCGTTGTGTGGTTTATGTAGCCCGATTGTGTCGGCCTCAGTAAATACCAAAGGCGTTCCCTTTGGCGGATCGTGCGGGACTTTGGGAGCATGGTTCTACTGTATTGTTTGATAGCTCGAACCGAATAGCTGCAAGCTTCGATGGCCCCCATTATCATGTTGACGCATTTCCTTGCTTTGGGAGCATGGTTCTCTTGTGCTCGGTCGTCCCGATTGCGTTTCTGTTGTTCGGGCAGAGCAGGCGGATTCGGTGGCGGTGGTGGTAACACCAGTAAAGCTGGTAACGTCAGTAAAGCTGGTGGAGTTGGTGGATCCTTAGTGATGGTGTTCTCGAGCTGTGCGTTATTTGGTCGAGGCATGTTTGAACGACGGAGATCGTCTATCGAGATTTGCCCACTGTTCCTAGGCGTGTTTGAGCGACGGAGATCGTCAACCGAGATTGGCCCCTTTCGGTATCGGCCGAGTAGATATTCTCGCAGGTGTCTGCACTCTTCGGTGTTATGTCCTCTACGATTGTGGAATTCGCAGAATAAGGACTCGTCCTGATCTTCTTCACCTCTGACCCATTTATTGTTCCATTGTTTGGTTGGTTGCTGGATCGCATTAGCGTAGAACTTCTTACGATTCTCGTACCCTCTGCCGTATCCTGACTGTGGTTCGTTAGTTGTTGCTTTCAAGCGTTCGGGTTGCTTTGTCGAATAACTTTGTTCATAAGCGGCTTCCTCTTCTTCTTCGGCGATATAAGTATTAGCTCGGTGTAGTGCATTTTCTAGCGTCTGTGGAGGGTTATGCGTGATCGCGCTTCAGAAGCTAGTCTTAATCCGAGCTCCTTTCTGAAGGCATAAGAGGGCGGCTTCATCGCTGATCGTACAATTAGCGAAAATTGTCTTAAAGCGCTGGATGAACTCGCGCAGGCTCTCGCTTGCTCCTTGGGCTATTTGCCGGAGCTCGGAGTTCTTGGTGTTCTGCCCGATGAACATGGAGAAGTGTTTGACGAAGGCCGTCGTCAACTCCTTATAGTTATCAATTGAGTTGGCCTCGAGTCGCGAGAACCAGTCGAGAGCTACTCCTCCCAGACTTTCCACAAACAGTTGGCACTGAACTGCATGTCTCTCCTCGACGGATTTGAACTGGTATTGATTCATGCAGATGCCGAATGATGTCAAAAAGTGCCGGGGGTCAGTATTGCCTTCATAGATCTTTATTTTCAGTTCTCCATGTGTTTGACCGGCGTTCCTGCTATGCGCGGTGTGAAGGATGTTTTCTGTGTTTCCTGAATGACGCGCTCGATCTCCGGAGCCGCGCTTGTTGCTTGATGTATTTTTGAAGTGATCTCGCGAAGTTGCGCCTTCATTGCTTCGAACTCGGCGTCGCGACTTAGGTCCGACGTTGGTGCGTTTGCTGATTCGACTGCGGCAGACCTCATAGTTCCGGCTGGGTCTCCATCAGTGTTGAGGTCGTCAATAATGTTCCGAAACTCGAAGAGGAGTTCGTGCTTGACTGAGCTCGGCGATTTGCGCTGCCATCTGACTGAAACGTTCCTCGCTCCTTTTGTTAATGGCCTCAAATTGGGCGTTGAACACTTGGAGTAGCAATACAGTTCCATAACCTCCTACGGCTGCGGGGGTTTGGCCGGCTTCAGTCCCAGCGTTTTCCCCAGGAATTCCTCCTCCCTGCTCCGTTGGGTTTCGGACGGTAGCGTTCTCTCCACCGAGAGGGTTTTCTTCCTCGTGAATGTTGGCTTGATCCGTCATTGCTGATTTGATCTATCCGAAGTTTGATCTAAAACTGAAAATTCTGTTTAGTCCCCCTACCTGGCGCGCCAATTGTTGATATGTGAATATCGACAAGGGGCAAAACAGTATTTTAGATCGCTAAACTCGGTTTTTATTAGATTGAATCGAGAGAATAACGAACTAAGACTTTATGAAACTAAGAATCTAAAGTGATGAGTTCTCAGTCTCTAAGTCTTCTCTGGAATATCTTGTGTTCTCTGGTGTCGATTCATCTTCCTTTATATATATCCTCTGAGTCGGTCATCGAGTGCGTCTTCAGCGATATGGGACCGAGAGGACTTTTCTTTTCTCTCGGTTCTTTTCCTTTTCTCGCAGCAGTTTCCTTTTTCCATTGGAAAACTTTCCATTCTTGACCGAACTCGGGGAACTTCTCGGTTCCTTCGAGAAGTTTCTCGCCGACCTCGGCTTAATGGATTACGTTCGGCTCAATACTTTACTCGGCCCAATCTTCCCTGTACATTCCTTTATGAACCGGGTTTATATTACGCCGATCTCGGTTTTACCGGAGAAAACCGGGGTGCGGTTTTCACCTCCAACAGTGACTTTGAGGCTTGAAGTGATTCTCAGTTGCATTATTGTGGGTAAAAGAGAAGTTGATGAAGGGTATTATTCTCTTCTGTTGCCCCCCAATAACCATTTGTTCCAATTCTGTCCTTAATTCTTGTTCCTTCATACGTAGCTCCTTATTGGATTTCGACATCTTTTATATATCTTTGATCAAGTTATACCGTAAACATTAGCATTTATATGGAAAATAGAAGCATTTGCATGAGAACCCAGGAGAAGAGAAATAGTGGGAAAATAATTTTCTTGAACAATTTTGTTTTATGTGTCATTTGGTATTATCATTTTTTCAATACAAGCTAAAGTTATTTTTTAACTATTTCATGGATCCAGTCCGGATCCGGATTCTTGCAGATATCTTAATTTTTGGATGGATTTGAATGCCAATAGTTGTTTCTCAGACTCAACGTAGTCGAATTAATATCCTAAAAATTTTTTATTTTTTATGTGTCTACCTCTACAGGACAATCATCTAATCATATATTCTCTTATCTTAGTATATAAAATAAAATATTTTAAAATTAATAACTCACCGGATGCGACATATAATAATTATCACAAGATCAAATTACCAATTAGATTTTAATACATAATAGATTAATAATAAATAAAAAATTGTTGGAGTCATCTTTTGGCTAATAAAAATGATGAGTACATAAAATGAATAATAGTTGATGTAACGTATTACTTTTTAATATTCAAGCAACATGAAGTATAGGACAATGCATAGCCACACATCCAAATTAACTTAGTACACTAATAACTATATAAATAGTTGATAGAGCATGGTCACACATCCGAACAAACATGGTCATATGGCTAACAGTACTATAACTATCAATTTTTTTTTTGATACGGTACACTATTCAATTACCACTAGCGTTGATCTCAAAAATTAATCGAATAAGTTCTAAACCAAAAGCATTTACCGACAAAAAGCAAAAGCATTCAGATCAAAACTGACCCAGTTTTAACCAATCGACCTATTTGTAACCAACCCATCCAAATGTGATCCAATTAACAATGACTGAGCCCAAAAGAAAAATACAAAACTTAAATGTATCACATTCTTTTTTAAGATAAATATTTATTTTATCAGAAATATTAATTCTAAATTTATATATTATTTATTTTCACGTGTAATTTAAAAAAAAAATTATTTCTCTATAGAATATAAAAATATCTTATTATAAATTTGCATATATTCTGGTTATAATCAAATTGTATATAAACTGTAATTTGTATTGTTTAATTTATGAAAATGAGATTTGTTTGCAACAAATTGGTGGAATCTTTAGACAAATAATTGAAAGACCATTTAAGTGATTTTCTTATATTTCCTTCGTATATAAAATTTCTAGTTTCTTATATGCTTGTAATTAGTTGACCATATCGTAACACTTTTTTTTTACCATTAATAATGTGTTCAAGTAAATATCTAGTTAAATGTAAATTCAAGATAAAGAAACATATTTTTTTGGTCGTCCAAGATAAAAAAAACATTTAGGAAACGGAAAATAGAAAAGAAAAATAAAACATATATCTGACTTCTTATCCAAAAAGAAAAAAATAGATGAGACTCCCCCGGGTGTAATCACTTATATTGTCTTAGGGACCATATGGGGCAGCCATAACGCGAACAGTATTAAAGTGTTATAAAACTATATATACTAAATTCACTTAGAATTTATTCTTTATTATAATGCCAAATTATTCCTTTAACACTTTTATTCTTTTTCTTCAATAATTCAAAAACGATCATGCCAAGATTCACTGAATTATGCATGTCTACGTTCATTCTCTCCCTACATGAATCGGTTCAAATTAAGTTTTGATAAATTTTACCATTTCGAACATGATTTTTCACGTTATCCTAAATTGTGCGATTTTTAATTTGTCGGCGACGTCAACATTCACTTGACATTCTCAGATCGGAAAGAGTAAAATTAATTAATCCGGCTCACATATATACTTTTATCTGATTCTTCTTCTTACATGCATAATTGTGTTCATCAAACAATAATGGGTAATTGGTTATGTTTACGAACAAAAAAAATATATTACAATTTCTTACTTACCGACATCTCATATTTAAATTTATAATTTATGGATATAGCTAAAAATCGACATCATATCGAAGTTATGAAGCCACATCTCTCAAGTAAAATTTAGTTCTTATATTATCTTCGTCTTACAAATTGTTAATTATTATTAAACACGCAAAAATTATTGGTAACAACTAAAAATCCCAAAAACAATTATATCCATACTCGGAAGTGTATTGAAAATGAGTTGTCAAGATATCGTACATCTAACTTATCGTTTTGGGTGATATAATCTTTCTGTCCGAAAACATTTGCCTCTTTCCATATGGGAATCGAACTCTGACTCATAACCTTTGGAAGGCATGAACACTCGTTACTAGTCCAAGACTCACTTGGTCATCCACCAAATATTACTTTCGGTCAATATTTTATATTTAGTTGTAAGAATACGATTACCTAAACTATGTATCGTCGATAGCAAATCAATTAAAAAATAACTCTTTACATCACTTTTTCAATAGACAGAGTATTAGATCATTGTCATAGTAATAACCGAAAAGGGTTACTTTTAGAAGCGAATGTTGTTACTAAAGCAAATTGAGTTGCGGCGAGATGAAGCTGTGTGCGCTTCTTCAGTCAGTTGTTCTTTGTTCTTTTTATATATGTTTCTTAGATGAGAAGCAGCCACACATTTTATATAATAGATTGACAATTTTAAGATGACAAACCCCAATGGAATCCTTAACCCTTGAGTATGACCCGCGTACAAAGGATTTGATTCTTGTAAATTTATATTAAATTTTTTCATGACTATTTTATGAGTGAGATATCAATGCTGGATCCATAATAAGGAGGGTGCTGAAATAAGTTGCCAAAAAAGAAAATACTATACTTATTTAGTACTAATTTTTTTTATGAAACTCTATTTAATTAGGAATTGTCTTATAGTTAAAATATAAGCAAGAACAAAATACGGTGGATATTAGTTAAAGTTTTGGTCGTGTAACATTTGGGTTTTCATCCACATTCATCATACACAAAATAAAAAGAAACAAGAAAGTAAGAATGGTTTATAGAGTGATGGCAAGATTCTAGCGTGTTGACACCGAGGAGATTCGATAAGAAAGAATCAAAATCAATACACGAGATGTGTCACAAATTGCATATATTCCCAGATGGACTGACTATTACATCAATCTTCTTAACTAGTGTATTCCATTGGTCGTGACTTCTGCGTAGTTATATTTATTTTTGATTTCTCTTGTCTCATAGACAATGTAGCATAATGTATAATCGAACACTGTTAGGCCCGTTAAAAAAAATAAAATAATAATAGAACATTGTTTTTCGTTAATATTTAATTTATATGAATATTCCTTAATGATACGTTGCTTCTGTTGAATATTCATCTTTTACAGATATATATATTAGATTAGACTCCTCGTAATACCCAATAAAAAATAATTAGATTTGAAAATTGATAAACTACGTAAATCTGTATAATTAGATATTAAATTAAGATCCCGTTAAGTTTTTCAAATTTAAGTATGATTCGCAGTAAAATAACTAAAAATTGATATATATATATATATATATATAATCCGTTAATCTGATAAACAACCAATAATACAGTCTAAAAATATGTTCTTTATTACTTTATACTTTCTGTTTCTCATTTTTGATTCTAATAAATTATTTTAAAATTTACAACACGCATGATTATAATCTTTATAATGTTATTATATAAAAAAAATTGACTCAAAGTTAGTAACTCGCAAAATTATTACATATATACATGTATCAAGTTAAACAAACAAATTTAACATGTACCATAAAATTAAAAAAAAAAAAACAATATTAAAATAGAAAAAAGCAAAAAAATAATAAAAAATTAAGTTTATATAAGAAAACCCAATAATTCTGTTTAGAATGAGGAAATAAAATAATAACTTGTAATCACAAAAACTAAAGTTTTAGAAAAAGAAAAAACAAGGGAGGATTACTAAAAATATGCCACAATTTGAATCTAAATGCAAAAGTATACCCCAAATTCAACCTATTGCAAAAATAGGTCAGAGGGGTAGAGAAATTACTATTATCTCCTACATGAGTAAACAAAAAAACAAATGTCTCAGTTACGATTTTAACCTTGCAAAGTCTGCAAATATTAATGAAGTCTTCTCCGTAGACTTATAAAGAAGTCTGCAATTTAAACTGAAATTTGTTTCTATAAATAAAATGTCAACAAGTATGATCTATATAAATTAGAATTTAATAAAAATGAATCATTTTAAACCATCTAAGATAAAAATCAAAAGTGAATAATTCTAATCTAGGGCTGCAGACTTCTTTATAAGTCTGCTATATTATTAAATCTTATATTTAAATTTTAAAATTATATAAAAATAATTTAAACTGAAATTTGTTTCTATAAATCAAATGTCAACAAGTATGATCTATATAAATTAGTATTTAATAAAAATAAATCATTTTAAACCAGCTAAGATAAACAGCAAATGTAAATAATTCTAAACTAGGGTTGCAGACTTCTTTATAATTTATAAGTCTGCTGAGCAGACTGTAAAGAAGTCTACTATAAATGTAAACTATATATTTTAATTTTAAAATTATATAAAAAAATTGTGAGCGGAAATTTGTTTTCAAAAATCATATATAAGCAATTATGAGGTTTATAAACAAAAATATAATATAACCGAATCAATTTAGAACAAAAAATATAAACTTACTCAAAATGGGGTTTAATTTTGGGTTTGCAGACTACGGATCGAAGTCTTTTTAAACCGGAACCGAAATAATTAACCTAACCAAAATTTTTTTAACATAGTATATAAAGAAACTTACCAGTCGTTACCATAAATAAAAAACCCTAAATCACTGTAAAATGGCGCTGCACCCTGGTCTCTCTCGCCGCGACTCTCTCTCGCAGTAAGTTTTTCCCGGTGCTCCCCATTTATTCTATTCCCCTTCCATCAATTGAACTATTATATGGTTTCTGATGCAGATATCCGGCGGCGTCTTCATCCTCCTCTCGGCATTTTTCAGCTTGTAAGCCTTATTACTCACCCTCCTACTACATCTCTTCTTAATTATTTCTGATGCATATGTTGTTTCATATATCTCACTAGATATATTGTTGCTGCAGATCTCAGCCGGCGTCTTCATCGTTCTTATTTCTCTCTCCAGATCTGTGAATTCTTCACCATTACATTCGCTGTTTAGTCCGTATCTTATTGTTTACTTCTTTGTCCTTTAAAATTTGTCCTTTAAAATTTTTCCTTTTGTCCTTTTGCTTTACTATATTTTTTCACAGATCTAAGCCCAATACCGTGAGCAAGTAAGTAAAAATATTTTTTTATTACAAGATATACATTTTTTTGTTATTTTGTTGTTTAACAAGTAAGAAATACTTGTTTGGAAAGTTTGTTTTTGTTATTTTGTTTTTTAGCTGCAAAGTTATTATTTTTTATTTTTATTAGTTGTTGTTTTCATGTCATTTTGTCCTTTAGTTTAAAGTCTATATATAATTTTTCCAAAAGCATGCATTTCTTACATAAAAAATCATTTTAGCTGGAATGGGTCAATACAGCTACACTCAACCTTCAAGCAGCTCGGGAGAATGTATGAGTTCGACTGCTCGACGTCGATCTGGTGGAAATTTTGGATTTCCTATCCGTTGTTACTGCGGTTTGGTGCCAGTGCTCCAGACATCTTCCACAGACCTGAATCCAGGTAGAAGGTTCTACGGATGCCGTAATAATGAGGTAATAAGCCGTTTCCTGTATTGGTTTGTGAGAGTTTGTTGTGTTGAATAGTTATGTTTGTAATTGTTTCCCTTTGTGATGGTTTGTGATGGGTTCTGAGTGTTTGTATAGGATGGTGGCTACCATATATGCAAGTGGTGGGATGAAGCTATGACCGAGGAGTTTCAAGAGCTTAGTTTGGTTGTGGATCAACACGCAGACTCCATTCGTTACTTCAAAATTGGTGATTGCAAAGCTGTACATAATTGTATTGATAAGCCAGCAATGGAGGCAATGCGTCGCAGGATCATGAGCTTGGATGCAGATATAGCACAACTAAGGGACCAACTTTTGGAGTCACGTTTGGGAGGCTTGAAGTTGAATCATGCGATGGTGGCTGGTGCAATCCTGATTGTTGTTATTGTCTTTCTTGGTGTTTGTTTAACTAGATCGTAGTTGTTCTCGAAAGAGAATATGTATGAACAAATGTTTAATTATGTAAACTATGTTTCTGACATATTTGTCGACTAGCATACTTATTAGGCAGACTTCTTATGCAGACTTAATAAGCAGATTTCTTATGCAGACTTAATACGTAGAATGAATTCACTGACAGTTTTAAAATTATATTGCAAACCAGCTATACCAATTTAAGGCTAAACCAATTGCGTTTAAAAAAAACAGTACGATAAACCAAATCTAATCGATGCTACTGGATCGAATTGAACTGGTACGACAGTTATTGAACCGGTACGACGGTTAAATAGATTTCTACGGACATATATAAGCGTTTCTAACACTGTATTAACACAACATCGGTAAAAAAAAAACTACCGAGTATTGTAAAATTTATCTCTGCAGTATTGCCGGTTTTTACTGTACATCCGTTTACCGTTTAAGGTAAGTCGAAATTAATTCCGACTTCTCTTTTGGATCGAAGTCTGTGTTTTGCATAAACCCTAATCCCCTTCGCTTTCTATTCCAGATCTGGTGTCGCCGCCGTTCGTAACTGTTCATTTCCGCCGTTGGTTGTGGAAAGGTATTTGGCTGCACTAATTTCGTATAATTTGTTCATAAATATCTTTAAGGGTTCCAAGTTCCTAGTCGTTTGGGTTTCTACACTGGTTTTTTCTAAAAATCGGACAACAACGAGTAGATATATGTTCCAAAGTCGGACAAAAATCAAACACCCGTTTTCCAAGTTTCTAGTTCCTATGTTATAGATATTTGTTCTTGTTTTTATTTATTATACCAGATTTTGTATAGTGTTAGGCGAACTATTTTGGTAGTATTATCTGGTAAAACGGAGTTAAAAACGGTTTGTGTTTTTTTAGAGAACTTTGTCGGCGGCTAGTTTTTTGGCAACTGTCTTAATTACGCTATTAGGGCTACAGACTTCAATTGCAGACTTAGTTGGTTGACTTCGTGTGTAGACTTCTTTGTGAGACTTCGTAAATAGACTTCTTTTAAGGCTTCTATTTTGAATATTTCTCTCAATCTGTTTTGCAGACGTCAGTTAAGCTAATGGAAAACCCAGAATTCCCCCCGCGTCTCTTCACAAAAGGCAATGAGCCGTATCCTCTGAAAAGCTAGGATACTATAGCGGTGAGACAAAGCTGATGACTGCACTCGAGGAAGCACTAACACAAGATGAGTGGGAAGAGATAATGAGCTATAGACTGGGAGTGTTCTTGAAGTTCAGTCAGCTGGATTTTGGCTGGACATCTAGACTGGTGCATTACATTCTCGGCATGCAGCTAGTTTGCAAGAAAAAAAATTTGAGATTGGAGCCTCATAGGTTTATTCCCGATCCGTTTTTCTTTGAATGAGTTCAAACATATTACTGGCTTGAATTGCAAGTACGTGGACAATCTCGAGGATTCGGTGGTTGAGGTAACTGAGGAGATGCAAGATTTATGGGAGCGATTGGGAGTCATTCAGGATTTGGACCCGAGCACTGAAGATTTGATAAAAGCTTGTAAGGAATGCCGGTCGTGGTCTTCCGAGGATCGGTTGAGGCTGGGATACCTTAGTATTTATGCTAGTTACATTGAAGCACGAAAACCATCTTCAGCTACTCGGGTTAGGTTGGCAAGGCTTGAGATGGATTTATATGTGTTTAAAAACTACCCTTGGGGAAGAGTGGCCTTTAAACACCTGATGCGGTCGGTGAAGGAGAAAGAAATTTGGAAGTCGTCGTACACTATTGAAGGGTTTGTTCAAGTACTACAAGTCTGAGTTTACTTTGCTCTTTCCGACTTTGCTGCTAAATTTGGTGAACCACTCCCAAACGACCCCGAGGTACCGCTGATTGATATGTCTATATTTTACATCATTTAGATTGCATTATAGAGTCCTCATCATGTGTTTTCTCATGTAAATTGAGTCTTTAGGCGTCAAAATAGGACTTAGGGCTTGCATTAGGTCCCAAAGAGTTTTGCATGTTTTGAAGTCCTTATTAGGAGCCTTGGAGACCAATTGGAGCCTAAGAAGAGGAACAGGAAAGAAAACGGTGAAGAAAAGGGTCAAAAATGATGAAAACCGCTTGGAGGAATTTCTCGGCCAAATCTCGTACCGGCTGGTTGGAAACCTCGACAAAAATGTTTACCGGATGCTCATTACCGGCCAAAAACCTTACTGATCGGCCAGAATCGAGTATCGAGTGCAAAAATACCACGGGACAAGTTTTTGACCGAGGCAAGGATTTTTACGACCAAAAAGCTTACCGCGGTACACAGCCCTCGGCCATTTTCCTTACCGTGGGAAGGTTTTTACGACCAAAAGTTGCCCTTGCCCGCGCAATTCAGAAATCAGCAATCCGGGGAACCTTCCGGTCCGAATCAGTTGGCGGGGTCTTCACCAAAGTTGGAGATAATCAAGCAAAGATTCCAGAACAGTTGGAATAATCCAATTCTGACCAGTGGAGAGAAAGATATGGCTTCCGGAGCGTTCACCAGCCTTGCGCGTACCCGAGAACTGTACGGCGAACTTCAAAGATCATGGCGGACGGAGCCTTTCCTGTCCGAACCAGCTTACCCGGTCTTCATCAAAGTTCGAGATCCATGGAAGATATTCTCAGAGCATTTGGAATCGCTCAATTCGGAGCAAAGGTTTGGAAGATAGGGTCTCCGGAGTTCACATCGGTCTAAAAGTCTATTTTCCGGTAATTTCAATGCGGCGCAAAGATATGAAATCCAGGAAGCCTTCCGCTCCCCAAGGTCCGATGGTTTCTCCACCAAAGTTCGAGCTTATTGAGTCATCTTTACTGTGGAACTGGTCCCAGAGCAATTGGAGTCGTGTGCTGAAAGTTATCGCTTCCGGAAGGTGACATGGTCGATACAAGCCTAAAATGAGTTGCGATACGCGCTAAGTGTCTTCACAAGCCTCAGTATCTTTACCTTGACATCACTCAAGTCGAGGCTCATATCTTGGAAGTATTTTGGACCAGACCTCGTCCCAAAGCCTTGGCATGATTAGATCGAGGCATGCATACGTAAAAACTGAAGCTGAAAACGACTAAGTGTTGAGAGTACACCTCGGTGTAATGACCTCGGCGTGCATGCCGGACTGTGTTCTCCCAAGCACCTCGACATCATGACCCCTCGAAATTTTATCCCGAGGTCCCTTGTCACGAACCCAGAATCAAGAACAGAGTAGCTCAAGAACACACATGTGAGGATGGATCAAAGACTAGGGTTCATGCATGTTCTTGACGTGTTCTTCATGAGATCTTCATCCGGATCCTGACTCACGTGCACACCTCGGCATGAAGACCTCGGCTTCACTTTCCGACACACCATGGCACTCACCCATCAACCCAAGAGGGCGGTTCAGTACCCGGTTTGTTCCGGGCTGACCCGCGACACTTTCCCTTTGCTATAAATACATTTTGAGACTAAAAACCTAGTTATCTTATCTCTTACCTGTTTTTAGCTTTAAGAACTTGCCTCCTTTGTGAAAACCAGATTAATCTAATCCGATATCTTGTTTTTACGTCTGAATCTTGTTCTTTCTTTACTCTTCTTTTATTATCAGCATTAAACTCCTAATCATGACCAGCTACACGTCTTGCAAAGGACTTAGTGAGCTCGTTATGATCAGTGAGTAGTCGTTTAAGCGACTTTAGATAAGTAGATTAGGGTGCTTTCAAGGTGGATTAATGGGTTTAGGTGTATAGTCTTGTATGTTTCATTCCTTAACCGACGAGATCTCTAGGCTGGATCCAAGCACATCACTTGAGGTTCAGATCTGAGACATATCTCGCATCAAAAGTGTTTGTAGAAATGTCTGAACCACTCGGTTAAGGGTTTAAGAGTCTTTCATCGCGAGGGTGATAGTTTGTTCTCTTAAATGACATATTTGAACTGAATCTTATTGCTGATTGATTCGTGCTTCTAAAAAGATATTTTGGTATGAAGGAGGATCAGTTTAGATGTTTAATACTTTCATGAGAAGATTAACATGCCTTGAGTTCAAAGTTAAATGAAACCGCTTGATAAAATGATTCATTAGCCCATCAGTTTAGCTTGGAAGCACCCGAGTCGATTATCTTGTCTAAAGTCTCTTCCTTTATTGCATATTATCATCATCTGAATCACCTGTTTGTTGTTTGCATCTTGCTTAGTTTAAATCTCTACTTTTTATTTACTTTTATTGCTTATTTGCCTGATTATCTTAGTCACCAAACTTTTACCTTCTTGTCTTGACTTAAGTGAACAAATGACATAGGCTAGTGTCTCGTTTACAAGCTTGGTTTGACACCCCTTATACTACTTTGACAAGGGGATTGATAACCCTTCTAAGAGCCTGAAAACTCTTACTTATCAATTGGCGCCGTTGCCAACTTGTAGGAGCATTAGTCTCTTGTTTGTTCTTGAGTTCAAGCTTTTCTTTCCTTTGTTTTACTAACTTCTTTCCAAGTTCTTGTTTTGTTTTCAGGTGCATGAATACCAGGTCTCGGAGCACAGGATCGCTTTTCCCATACGACGATAACATCGACAGATTAGAAAGGCGAGCTCGCGAGAGAGAACGACACTTTGACAGACTTGGAATGGCAGAACAACAGAGAATGGAGCAACAAGCTCAGGCAGCCGAGCACCAGGCTCAGGCTAATCAGGCGCAGGCAGGAAGAAATGAACAACAAGCCTATGTTAATCAGCAACAGGCTCAAAGAAACGAACGGCTTGCTCAGCAAAACCAACACCAAGCGAATAGAAATGAACAACAAGCCCATCATGTTCATCCGCCACCGCCCCAAGTTCAGCGACAACATCCTCCAATCTGTGTTGGAGAGAATGACCGAGCTAATGTGCACCATTACCGAGCTGGAATTCAAGCTCCACCAGTTCAAAACAACAACTTTGAAGTTAAAGCTTCCCTGCTCAATATGGTGCAAAACTCAAAGTTCCACGGTCTGGCTGGAGAAGACCCTCTCGAACATCTAGATCAATTTGATCGGGTTTGCGACTTAACCAAGATAAATGGCGTCTCCGAAGATAGCTTCAAGCTACGCTTGTTCCCTTTCAGCCTCGGTGATAAAGCACACCAGTGGGAAAAGAATATACCGAGGGGTTCTATACAAACCTGGGAGCAGTGTAAACTGGCGTTCTTATCAAAGTTCTTTTCCACATCACGCATGGCTAAGCTCAGGAATCAGATCTCAAGTTTCACGCAGCACAATAACGAGAGCTTTAGTGAAGCTTGGGAACGGTTTAGAAGCTACACTAACCAATGCCCACACCACGGCTTCTCAGAGGCATCACTCTTGAGTACTTTATACCGAGGTGCACTCCCCAAGATCAGAAACCAACTCGGTACAGCTTTAAATGGAAATTTTCTTGGGAAAGAGATCAATGCGAGAACCTAGCCATGTCTAATGACACGTATGGAGAGGACTTTGATAGAGCAAACCGTACAGAGGGATCTAGTGATGAACAGCACATGAAAAAGGATATAAGAGAGCTTCAGAGTAAGCTTGACAAGGTTTTGATGGCGACTCAAAAGCCAATACACTTTGTAGGCGAGTTTGATGAGCAAGGGCCAAGTTTTGACAATGTTAATGAAGATGGTCTAACACAAGAGGAGCTGAATTACATAGGGAATCAGCAGAGGTATCAGCGGTTTAACAACTACAACAGTAACCCAAACCTCTCATACAGAAACCCGAATGTCGCTAACCCTCAAGACCAAGTGTACCCTGCTCAACAACAACAACAAAGCTATGCTCAAAAGGCTCCTTTTCAGAATACCTTCCAGCCCAAGCAACAGTTCAGTGGGAAACAGCACGGCTACACTCAGCAGAATCAAGCGGCTCAGAGTAACAACTTCAACAACCATCCGCAGCAACACAAGTTTCCACCAGGGTTCCATCCGCAACCGATGGGTAATCAACAACAGATTCAGGGAACGGGTCAGAATCAAATGGGGAACGACGTCTGTGGGATACTACAGCAACTGTTACAGGGCCAGCAAAGGGTTGAGAGCCAGCACGCGACAATGCAGCAAGATATCAGAGACCTTAAGCAGAATCAAGCTTCTACATCATCAAGAGGCCCGACTTTACCAGGTAAACCGGAGCCAAACCCTAAAGAGTATGTGAACGCCATCACATTGAGGAGTGGTAAGGAATTACAAACTCCAACGCCTAAGACAAAGCTCATTGAGGCCAATGAGCAATTAGAGGGGGAGGCAGCCTCAGACGATGCGTGTAAAGAAGCGGTCTTAGAGAAGGAACCGATCAAGGACAAAGGAAAAGAGGTGGAAAAGAAAACCAAGCTTGAAAAGCCCTATGTTCCACCACCACCTTATCAACCCAAGATACCATTCCCAGGGCGTTTCAAAAAGAAAATCCTAGACAAGGCCAAGGCAGTCTTTGAGAAACACTTGGAGAACACGCAACTCACCTTACCCATTATAGATGCTTTCTTAGCTATACCCCAGCTTGGGAAGTTTCTAAAGGACGCGATCCTCAACAAGACAAAGGAGCTCCAAGGTATGGTGATACTGAGCCATGAGTGCAGTGCCATAATACAAAGAAGATCAATACCAAGGAAGCTATCCGATCCGGGCAGCTTCACTCTGCGGATCAAGCCGAAGATGATGATGGTGGCGCGGCGGATAGAGTGAGTTGAGAGGGTGGACGTGTTGTGATGAGATGATATCGATGGAATGGAGATAATGAGATAGAAGAATCTCTTGTAAACAGATTAGTTTTTAAGAGATTCGAATTTCAGAGTTTTTAGTTCTCAGAAATCAAAAGAGAGAAGAACACGTTAAAAGTTTGATCAAAATTCTTCACTCCATATGACATAGGCGATTTTCTCTACTTTATAGAGTAAGAGAGAAAATCGCAGCCCTAATAACAAACTACACGAAGTCTGAAATAAAAACAACACGAAGTTTGATTTAAAAATAAAACAGCGAGGCGTCCCTTCTAAATACTAAGTGGTGCGCCTAAAACAACTAGTGCACAAGTCATTGTGACTTTGCACATTATTACATTAGTAACAACTTCTAAGTAACTCGACGTAGCAATGATTTCTGCCTCGTTAAAAACCTTGGAGAAGAACCTCCTTGCTTTCCAAAATCCTCACCAAGGAAAAGAGTACAGAATCATCACCTAAGTTACCTAGTCATTGTTACTGGGTTCTTCATTCCTCAAGATAGAGATGTTGAAGATGTGAGCTCCAGCCTCCTGGTGATCGCTGTTCTCTGTGGCAATGAGTGCGTGAGCCTCCTTAGCCATCTCTCTAGCTCTGGACCGAGTGATCCTGCCAGCTACCTCTGGTTCCTCCTCCTCTGAGCTGGTCACGATCATATCACCAAGTCGCAGTAGATGAAGAACTTGACTTGTGAGACTTAAATCGCTTTGTCTTAGCCGCACGCCCAAGTAGGAGTGTTTTGCGAGTCTTGCTGCGGCTTAATCTTCTTCTTCTTCAACTCGCAGGACCAAGGCGGTTTCTGGGGAATGTACAAACCTTGCGGGTTGGTCTCCATTACACTCAGGTCGCAGGCTCAAGTCGGAGTAGATTGCGAGTGATCGTGCGGCTTGGTTCCAGGCGCGGCCAACTCGCATGCCTAAGTCGCACGATTGTGGACTTAGCAATTTTCTTGCTCGGGAGCCTCAGACCTCATCCATTGATAGCTTACCCGCACTTCTCAACTCGCAGCATCAATTTCCAGGCATTCGTCTTCAGGCCTGCGAGTTAACCAAGTCGCAAGGCTTTCTCGCAGCATTCAGAGCAGCTTGGACCACTTCGCATTCCGGAGAGTGTAACTTCTAAGATACTTGTCTGAATTGAGTGATTCCGGTTGCAGAGGACGGAGGACGCATATATCTCCAACTTTGGTGAAGGAAGCTCCGGTGCTTGGGAAGTGGAAGGCTTCCTGGAGGGCTCATCGTTGCAGTGCATTTACACGATCAGAGAGAGGCATCTAGACATGTGTCCATTCCGGAGATCGTATCTTCCTGCTCATAGCTCCGAATTGAATGATCTTGGACGTTATGGAAAGCGGACTCAAATGTATCTGATTCTCATGAAGGCCCCGGAAACTGAATCGGCCTGGAAGTGCACCGTACTTCGCATGCTTCAGAGCTCATCGGCTTGGTCCAGAACAGCAGCGAGACAGGGGTTCCTTCCGACGAGCTTAACTTTCTGCTCACGCGTCCGAATTCCATGATTCTACTTGCTATGCAACCGTTATCCAATCCTCTCCAACTTCTATGAAGCACCCGACATCTGAATCGGACCGGAAGGTTCCCCGGACAGGCGATTTCGGAAACGTGTTTGCACCCGGAGATTTTGGCCGAGAGATTCAATAGCCGGTACGCGTTTTGGCTGATAAAGTCTACCCGCGGTACGTGAAAATGGCCGATAAAAACCTTCCTGGTACGCGAGAATGGCCGATAACCTCCAAAGACCCAATTTCACCATTTTTCAAGCCTTGACCACCATTCCACTTCCTGGATTCATCTTTCCAGTTCCAAATAGCTCCAAATAAACCTGATAAACACTCAAAACATGCAAAGACTCATTGGGACCTAATGCATCTCCTAAGTTCTAAAAAAAAACCTAAGGACCTAAAATGCATGAAATAAAACATGATTTGGAATGAATTATGCAACCTAAATGATGCAAATTATGAACATATCAACTCCCCCACACTTGTTCTTTGCTTGTCCTCAAGCAAAAAGAGCAAATGAGAGAAAGAGGTTGAATGCATGGGAGTTCACATTTCCTTTTTGAGAGAAGTTATCACAATGAGAATTCAAGTTCATGCTCAATTATGCAATGCAAAGCCATACTCAGATATATATCAACTCAGCAAGGAATCTCCACAAGTTCTTCTCTCTCTCAACTCTTTCACATTCCTTAAGCTTTTATCAGGTGAATCTCATGATGCAATGTTTAAACAAGCTGGCTTGGCTAGGGAGAGGCTATGAGATTAAAATGATCTCATTAGTGTTCAAGTGGGTTTAATGCAGCAAAGGGATCTCTCTATGAATGATCAAACTTTGGCAGAATGCTAAAGGTAAAAAGCAACCTATGCATACAAGGGCAAAGACTCATCACACCCCACCCTCTACTCAAAGCTTTCTCACTTGCTCACTCCCTCAAGAACCTCACTTTTCACACTTATTTTCCTCTCACTAGGGGACTTACTTTTCACTTTCACTCTCAAGTCTTGGAGTTCAAACTTTACACAGCTCTTTTTCTTTTGCAACCTCTAGCCTCCTTTTCTTCTTTCTTTTCAAAACATTTGAGCTCTTTGGGTTCTTTTCTTTTCCTTTTACTTAGAGGCTAGACTCTTTCTTTTCAACACACCAGAGCTCACTTTCTTTAACTCAAAACTCCAAGACTGATTTCTTTTTCTTTCATTCCCCTAGCTATTTCCACTTTCTCTTTTCCACTCATCTCACCTTTTTCCACTCACCAACATGTCTTTTCCCCCACACTTATTCCTCGCCAAAACTCTCAGTTCCTTGATGTTGGAACACAACACTCAATGAGACCTGCCCTTGTCGCTCTAAACCTAACACTTTCTGCTAAGTTTGATCCAAGGTGGCCTTTCAATTCACACACAAACATTGGCTTGAAGGAAGGATGGGTTCAAGGTGAGGGAACTGATCCATGATGTGGATTCAGCTACTTGAGCTAAGGAAAAAGGGTGGTAAAAACAATGGTTCTAGCTCAAGTATGTATATCGGTATCCACAAGCTTTTTCAAACAATGCATCACAAGATATTTTCAAGTCAAATTCAAGGTTCCCACTTAATTAGAGTTGAGTTCAATTCAAACTTGCTTCTCAGATTCAGATCATTTCAGACTTTGCAAGCACATAAAAAGATTCACAAGCATATTCAGTTCAAGTTCTCAAAGTGATGTACTCTCTAGAAAACCTATCATTACTCCCTGCAAGATGCAACCTACATGAACATGCAATTTAGACTCAATCCTAAAAATGAGAATGCAACTACATGATCATTTTTTTTTGTGAAAATTTTTCAGATTTTTCAATTTTTTTTGGTTTTTATATGCACTTAGATGAGACTACATGAATATGCAACTAGAATGTGACTCAAGACTCAAAGTATAAAATAAGAACAGAGAAAACATGGTTAGTAAAAGATGAAGCTCCTCCCCCACACTTAAATAACACAGTCCCTTGTATTATAAAAAACATGAGAAAGGAGTGAAGACAAAACAAACAAGTAAAATGCAAAAAGAAAAAGAAAATCTACATGCATA